TCTACCTTAGTTGGTCACTAATTCCCATCTGTTACTTGATTTTCTCCATCTTGTCCAGGTTTCTGCCGCAGGCTTCCATGTGGTATCCCCTGCTTCCTATCTGTCTGTTCTCCGTATCTTCCAAACCACTTGTCTGTTTCTCAACAATTCCCTGTTGAAAAACCTGAGCTCTTGGTGACACTGGAAGCCTTCATCATTGGCCCCTTTGCCTACATCTCTGGGCCCACTTCCTTCCTTTCTATACTCTAGCCATGTCTTTCATTTGGTTAGACAGCTTTACTGAGATCCGTGTCACATACCATACTAGCCACCCATTTAAAGTACACAGTTCACTGTTTTTCAGTCCATTCATGGGCTGTGTGGGCCTCACCACAACCTAATTTTAAAACATTCTTGTCCCCATGCCCCATGATTCTGCATGAGGAAGCAGTCTCACCCCTCCTCACCTACCTCTTCACCCTTTAGCCCTGCCCAACCAACAACCCACTTTCTGTCGACATTTGCCTAATTCTGTCCCCATGAGTTGCCTATTCCGGATACCACATGCATAGAATCACACAATACATGGTCTCTGCTTCATGACTTCAAGTGCGTGGGTTTAGAGTTGCTTTCTTCCCTTTATCCATCTACCTTCTGCCTGTTCCAGACTTGCTTCCGGTAAGAAACTTAAACATACCTTTTGCAAACTGAGGTGGCAAAGGTTACTTTGCATTTCATACCTTTATGTAATTATTTGAATTTTCTAACCATGTACTTTCTTGGTATTTTTTAAAATTATCACCAGAAGTTATCTGGCTGGAGATTATGGGCCACTTCTTTAAAACATCTGAATAAAAAAGACAATATGTGTTACCTTTTAAAAAACAAACTCGTGTCAGCCCCAAAGCCTTTCTTTTCCTCCAGAACTTAGTGTTTTGGTATAGCACCTTGTTCTTGCCTCAGTTGTCCTGCTTGTGCTCATCTCGTTAACTGGTGTTTCTCTCCCAGGGGAGCCCCAGGGCCAGGGCTGTGCCTGCCTCTGCTCTGTGCCGATGGCAGCGGGTAGGCGTGTGCTGAAGCAGGGCCATGCTTTCCTCCTGGCTGCTCTGCTCATCTAAGGAGTTTCATTCTGAGGTGCATTCCCCATACACTGCTACCCCACTTGCTGGTCCATATTCTCAAAGAGGTTCTTACACTACAGAATTGGGCATGTGCTCCTTTATTTTACTATTGTTCTCGTTTCCAAATAGACTGTCAGCCCCAGAGAGGCCATGTCCTAGAGCCTTGGATCTCTGGCAGGGCTGCAGCTTAGGCTTCGGTATGTGACATCTCTGAATTTTAAGGGAATTGGAGAGTGCGAGATGAGGTGTTATCTGTATAATAACTGCAACGGGCGTTCACACCCTTTGTCTACATTTATCTCTGCAGAGGGGAAGCCGGGCCTCTTAACTCAGGAGCTGTGAAGTTGTAGGTTTCTCTGTTCATATAAAAATACTCGTTTAGTTTTTATGAGCGGTGTTTAAAGAACAATGAAAAGTAAAATAGAGGCGTGTGGTGGACTTCCCAGAGCCTTGGGGTGCTAGAGGAAATATAACGGCTGCAAATGTTTTTGAGAGGAAGTCTGTTTCCTCTCTCCTTGAATTTGGGCTGGTCTTGCTGACTTGTCTGAGCAGCAGAATGTAGCAGAGGTGATGTTCTGGGGCTTTTGGCGCTGGGTCATAAGCTCTGACTGACCAGTCTCTTAGAACCAGGAGTTACTATGTAAAATGTCCACCTGCCAGTGGCCCTGAAACCACATGGACACAGGCAGAGGGACTGGCTGAGCCCAGCCTTCCAGCTGTCCCTGCCAAGGGCTTGTGGGGCAGTGGTCTTGGGCCCTCCGGACTGACCCAGCCACCGCCTGGATGCCCTCAAGCCGTTCCAGTGATGCCACATATGGGGCAGGGAAGTTGCCTAGCTGGGCTCTGCCTGAATTCCTGTACAGAATTGGGAGGTATAATAAAACAGTGGTGCTTTTAAGTCACTAAGTGTCGGGGTAGTTACGTAGGTAGCTGAGACACTTGGCGTGCTGTCCTTGTGGCTTAACTTCTTTTTTCCAGTTTGATGCACTTAGAAATAAAATTAGGCAATATGGGATTTTACAACACTAACAACTATGAAAATAGGCTAGCTTAACAAAGAAATTCAGGAACCTAGAAAATTTAAGGTTTATTTTTTTCCAATTGACTTCTCAAAAATGGTGGTATACTCAAGAACTCTCTGCAGAGTGGTTTTTTAATTTTATCTTCTTTTTTTGACTTTTCCATCAAAATAGTCACTTTTATAAGTGCTTCCTGGTAAGGCTGGGCAATGGGGTAGGCTGTGACCCACTCAAATTCTTTTACCTCCTCTTTCTCCACTTGAGATTTCAGGGACGGAGGGACCTGGGCAGAGAGCTGCTGAGCACTTTGTTGATCATTTCTTTGCTCTGTGAGTTCTCTTCCTCGAACCATGCGATCCTGATGTCCCTTTATCTGTTCCTCTGTCCATGCCACCTCGTGCTTTCTGGTTTTAATTCTGTGTGTTTTCTGGATATTTTCAGTCGTTTTATCCTTCCGTGTTAATGTTTTGGGGAAAAGTGTTTCACTTGGAATTTTCTGAGGGAGGAGCCGATACTTGCGGTCCCTGAGGCCTTGAGCTCGTTGGGCTTGGCTAATGTGCTTCCCTGTCCGGTTCAGTGCCCTCTCAGGCACTAGGTAGGCCCACATTTTGGCATCTTCCGTTTTTTCACTTTGTGGTCTCTTTTCCTCTGTTTTAATTTCCCATTTTGGAACCGTTCTGTATTTCCACGCTTCTTCCAGCATCATTTCTTGGTGTTTGCGGTAGTAATACGCCTCTGCTTGGGCAAACCGGAAGTCTGAAGACGTCTCCTTAAGTTGACAAAGTGTTTCATTCTCCTGTTGGAACTCTTGGTCTAACAGTTTCCTCACTTCTGAAGAGTGGACACCACCTAAACTCTTGTCAAAGGGAAGTATTAGAACTTCTTTAAGTTGGTTATCTTTTATGATGGCCCACGATGCAAATCTCAGGTGGCTGTTAGCCTGACGTGGCACTCGTGCGCCATGTCCCAGGTAGGGTCCCCTGCTCCATGCCTTTCTCTTCAAACCCTGCACTCCCCGTCCCCAGTGCCCCCTCCTACTTGAAGACTTCACCTTAGACATTCTTGGAAAACAGAAGCAGTCACTCAGGAATGCCCTCTTCCCACTGCCAGAACCACGATGCACCTAGCCTGGACTCTGCCTTCCTGTCTTCACCATAAAACATCACCCCTTTGTCTGTCAAAAGCCAGTTCTTCCACTGGTGCTTGTTGAGCTTTAAGAACTTCAACTTGTAATTATCAAATTACCTTTCCTGCTTCATCAAGATTTCCCTTTTGCTGGGTCACTCTATTGGCGTATTGCTTTGGCCTATAGCATCCTTAAACAAAAAGGACACTCCTCCCTTCTGCACATCCCTCTGGCTCTTCCTCGCTTCCCAGTGTAATCTGAAGCTGTCCTGTAAACCCTCGCCACCCCTCACCTCACACTGGCCCCTCGATCCTCTTTGGTTGGGTTCCCATCCTTCAGCCTCTCTGAAGCCGCTCTCATCCAGACCCTTAGTGAGCCTCACACTGACAGGTCAGTGACCCCATCTCTGTCCCTGTCATTCTTGACCTCACAGCAGCATTCTACAGAGGTGACTGCTCCCCTTGAAACACTTTACTTTCATCTGGCTTTCCCACTATGGCCAAGGGCATGTGACTAGGCTGTCTTGGACCCCCTAGACTACTGCAGCCATCAGCCGAATATCCCCAAGTGACTGAATAGCTCCTCATTCTCTTCCTGCCTCGTGGCCGCTCTCTCCACCTGCTTTGCTGGTTCTGTCTTTTGAATGTATGCAGGGAAATTTCCACTTATTTTGACCACAATCACATTTAAGCTTCCTTGGGCACGGACAGTCTCAATCATTCAATACAGTGGCCTGCCCCATGTCAGGCACTGCTCTAGAGAGTGCGGGTAAGGGGTGAGCACGACACTTGAGGCACATGAGGCTGCCCTGCTCACCTCTCAACTCAGACCTGAATACTGTTAGCCTGACATGCTTCCCTGACTCCTTCAGTTTTCCCTGCTCAATCCTGTCACTTGTAACTCCAAAATGTCCCCACCCTAGGGAAGCAGCCTAACTAGTTTCCTTGAAACTAGTTCTCTCCTGCCCCCAGCCCCATCAGACTGGTCACTCACTAGCCAAAGTGGTCTTTGTGATATGTAAATCTGAGCACATCACTTCCCTGCAGAGACCTGGGACAGCGTCCTATTGCTGCTAGGAGAAAATCCCAAAGTCCAGTACGGCATGTATCACCTGGTGCCTCTCCACACAACCCTCTCACTCTCTCTGCTGCAGCCACACCGACTTACGTTCCTCGAAAGCCATGTTCTCTTTCCCACCTGAGGATTTCCATGTGTTCTTTCTTCACAAACTCCCAAACACACAATACAGCAGCTCTGACTCGGGTACTTACATATGCAGTTTTAGGCTTAAATGCCACTTCCTCAGACCTTCCACATACTTATTCAAGTAAAACACCATCCTTTCATGACAATTTATACTATGATAACTGTTTATCTGTTTATAACTGTTGATTTATCACTGTTTGTAGTATCTTCAATGTCAGTGTCCCTCACTAGACTAAGCCCCGAGGACATGGGCATGTTTGGGGGTGTTTATTTTGTTCAGTGCTCCAGCCAGCACCACTGGTGCCTGATGAACCAAACGTTGATCAGAACATAACAGGCAAAACACTTTCCCTCGAAACACTTAGGCCCTTTTGACCTTGGTGAACAACTTGTTAATGATTGTATTACTTGCTCCAAAGTTCATGGTAAATGTATTTCCTCACCTCAATCTTCTTTTCTAATGGAGACTGGGAACCCGCTGCAATCCGAGAGTCTTGAGTATTTTTGACCCAGGCCAATCTGAAAGATCGAAAAGAGAAATTATGATAGGATTTGGAAAAAGGTTTGAGGAAACATGTTCTGGTGTGAATTGTTTTAGGGAGTTGATTTGGGGCTTTCTTTACAGATGTAGCAAAAGGCATTTCTCTGTCAATAGGCAGGACCCTCTGCGTTTAACTTCTGTCTTTCCTTGAAGCAAGGAAAGAACGCTGTCTGAAAGTATAAAGAGCCACATTGTGTTTAAGGTTGAGACTGCCAAGTACCTTCATTTTAATGCTGGTGAGAGGAGACTGAATTGCTATTTCAAATTCTACAAACCACTGTTTACGTATAATTGTTGGCATTGGCAGAACAAAGAACTTATCTTTGATGTGAAATTCGGTGAATTTCAAAATTGGTAAGTCCATTTTAAGTTCAGTTATGCATAAAGTTACTAACAATGAACATAATTTATAAACTATCATTAATTTCCAACAACAGCTATCTAACTATTGTCTCATGATACTTGCCAAAGGTTTATATTTTAGAGAGACAATAAAGCAATTTGATGGCAAGAAAGTCTTTATTTTAATGCAGAAAAATACATGAGAGAAATTGGCCCATTACGTTTAGGTCCCCTTAAGACCTATTTATTAAGTTCTTATGTTTAAATAAAATAGATTCTGTTTTGCAATCTGGGTTGTAAATATTCTGTTTCTCTAATCTAGCAGCAAAAGAGAAGAATTTTATAAGAGAACTAGAAAAAACACTATTTGCCCATTAAGTAAAGCTTATTTGTTAAAAAGACTCATCTGCTTTTAAAATTTTCTTTCCTAAGGGGTTCTAATATTTCCATAGCAACATTTGTTGCATTTACTGTACACTAGGCATTGTGCTAGGAACTTAAAAATGGATTCTTTTACTTCATCTTCCACACAACCGTATGAGGTAGGTACTCATTACCCCCGATTTCACCGCGAAGAGGACTGAGGCCATGAGAGGTTCAGTGACTTGTCAAAGGTCCACGAGTTAGTTTCAGAGCCAGGATATATTTGTGCCTCCAGGACACATAATTCTCATTCCTGTGCTACACACATTCCCAGATAAATGAACATTTTCCTGCCTTTACTCAAAATGGGAGGAAAATAACACCTACTGATCTTCTGCACTTAGATTGAACCATTCTGAGTCTGTCACCAAAGGGGGTAGTAGGGGTGGGGTCTGCGCTGCTGGCCGAGCTGTCCACGGTCGCCCGCTGGATGGGCTCCTCGCAGCCCCTTTGGTCACTTCCACTGCTCTTGTAGTCTCATGCTGCCTATCTCTGGTGTCCTTGGTTTCAGCCATTTTCCTATCAGTAGCCAGCTTCATGAACAGCATCTTTGCTCTCTGCTCTCTCAGTGTCTGGTCTCCCAGCTCAGTTCTCTAATCTCTCATTCCTTAGTCTGCAAAGTACTGTTCTCCAGCCACTAAAGATCCCGGCTCTCGGATTTCCAGCTACCTATGATGACCCTTCTGGATGCCTTGGGTTGATTTCTAGGGCAAAGCAGTCACAAGTTTTTGTGTGTGTCATCAGTATTCTAGAATGAGACTACTGTGAGGTGGCAGGTGAAGTCACGGGTTGGTGGGGAACTGCATTTCAGTGGAATGGCCACAGACAGAAAGGAGGGGCTGTCTCACAGACAGCATTTCTGTGCCATTAGAGAAAGCATCTTTCAAGGCCACAGGGGCATCTTTTTCATTTTTGTTTTTTGTGGAATATATATTGTGTATCTTGTGTGAAAATGGAATCTGTGAAGAAGCTTGGAGTGGATCCTGCACACATGCTCACTGTGCTTGGTGGAGGTCAGATGACTATGCAGATGGCCTAGACACGCGGTCTCATCACTTTGGGGTCGGTCACTAAGCTAGATACTGTTGCTGCTATGGGGGTTTTGAGCTCTTACACTGTTTAGTATACTTTCAGTCATATTACTTAATTATGTTCATAACTGGTCATTACTTCAGCAGAAAATATACCAATGTTGAAATAAAATTTATGAAAACTGATTCTGTATATTCACTTCAAGATACTCTTCACCACATATATGTAAGCTGCATCACCTGAATAAAGTCCTCATTGTTTATACTTTTCCCATTAAGATGTCTTTAGTTCTTTAAAAAATATGAAAAGGAGAAAATACACTTATTAATTATAATGTGGCTTCTTTATTCTAGGTATAAAATCCCTCCCCAAATGTCCTATTTGCTGTAATGTGCTTGAGACGGTAGCCCTAGGCTCATTCAGAAGTTAAGCAGAGTTATGAAAGTAAATATGGGTATTTTATGCTTAAGAAAGTCAAACACCAGGTCTTGACTGATTTCGGTCTGTTTCCATACCAAAGTACTGAACTAAATTTCAAATTAATTTTAATATTCACAAGATATCACTTAAAAACTAAAAAACTAAAAAAAGTCATGCCACTAAGATATTATGTGCTATTAATTCAGCCAAAATTTTCATTAACACCTATGACCTGACAGCATCCTATCACAGCTGTCTAATGTTCACTGACGAGGAGCCAGACACTATGTAAAGTGCAAAAAGGCGATATCTTCTTACTTAACCTCCTATGAAAACAACAGAAGCCTCTTTTTTGATAAAGAATAATACGCAATTCTTACTGTGAACTTCTCTGTAAGGCATTAGCTTTATTAAAAAAAACCTCAGAGAAAGACAATCATGTGGATCTAAAAATACTTTAAATTAAAAATTGTTTCTCTTTCCTGAAAAGAAACTGGGGGAACGTAAGAATATAAGCCAGGGAGATAAACAAAGAACATTCTTGATAGCAAAATAGGTGGAAACAAACACTTGACTTTGCCCTAACATAAGCAAAAGATTGCCTGAGTTGTGTTTTCCTGTGATAAATATAAAAAAGAACTCTTTGTTAACAAGAGTTTTATCATAAACCTATTTTAATCCTTTGTCAAAAATAATGAAATATGTTAAAATAGTTCTGAGAAGTCCTAGCTGGGGAAAATGATGATAGTTCCTGAACTGAAATTATTGTTAACTGTTTTTCATGTCACTGAACTTGAAATAAACTTTGCAGTATAATCACAGATTAATGCCTGGCATTGGAAACTGCACCTTGCCTGTTGTCACCATTTGGCAGGAGTCTGAAAACAAATCTAAATAAAAATAAAAGGGTCTCTAATAGTATCTAAATATAAGACTGACATCCAACCACCCGATGAGAGGATGCTATTATTCTCCCCTTTTTTTGTATTAGGAAACTGGGCCAAGAGAGTTAAATGATGTGTTCAAGGCCATACAGTTGCCAAGTGGGAGGCTGAAACTTGGATGTCTAAAAGCAAAGCTTGTGATCTTAAGCACATGCCATCCCACCTAGCCTTGGAATACTGGAGGAGTGGAAAGCCAGTACCTTTGTAAAGTTTACAATCCAATTAGGGAAGCAAGATATGTACACAGGTGCTCACGTGTGACAGTGTTATAAATGGGACGTGTAATAAAGGAGGGAAACCAAAGGGCAGGAGTCATTAGAGTCAGGTGGGACTGAACAAGGAGGACTCCCTGGGGAGCGCATTCTGAGTCACAAACGTGAGAGACACTCCTGACACCAACCAAGCAAAAGGTGATTATCAGAGTGGTTATTAATGAGAGGAAGTTGCACAAGCAAAGTATAATATGGAAGGAGAGACGCAAGGGGCTCCAGTATGCTGGGCTGTAGAGTACAGGAGAGAACCTGATTCCAGAATACATAGAGGAATTTTGATGACTTCCCCAAACAAGTGGAGAACTAGGATGCATTATTAATAAGAAAATGATTAAAACAGCTTCTCGGCCTTTTGGCTAAGATTAAGTGTGGCATCTGTTCTTATCAGTTTAATATCTGTATGTCCTCTGTATATCTATATCTTAATATCTATATATCCAAGGACAACATATTAAACAGATTTTTGGAGCAGAGAGATGGAATATGAGCTTACTCCATCCACTCTATGCATCAACTTGGTATTTTAGTACCTCCAGGAATGGTGCACCCACTTTGGGGGGGAAAAAAGAGAGACAAAAAGAAGAACGTGATTAAAGAGAAGTAGCACTAGAGAAAAGATCCTGAAACTGTAAGGTCCGGAAGCCCAGACAGGTAGAGAATTGGGTCGGTCCAGTGGAGCTACAAGAATTTGGTTCCAGGCCAGCATTGTTCAAGAAAAAGAGAATGTGAGTCACAGAAATAATTTCAATTTTTCTAAGAGCTACATTTAAAAAAGTAAAATAGGTGAGGTTAATTTTAGTGATATATTTTAACTCAGGATATCCAAAATATTATCATTTCAGTGTTTTATCAGTTGATAAATTGATGTTTTATCAATTTAAAAATTTTATACTGCTCTTTTAATTAATAATCATAATTATTTTTAGAACACTATAGGTTTACAGAAGTAGTGATTAAAAAGTACTCTCTTCCTCTAAGTTCCCTCTATTTATGTCTTGTGTTAATGTGGCACATTCACTATATTGATGAACCAATGTTGCTACATTACTGTTAACTAAGTTTGTAGTTTACAGTAAGGCTCACTCTTTGTGTTCTACATGCCATGGTTTTTGACAATATGTGATGTCTGGTGTCCATCATTACTACATCATATGGAATTGTACCACTGCCCTAAAAATCCCTTAGTTCAGCTATTTACTCCTCCCTCTGTACCCTAAACCCCTGGCAACCTCTGATCTTTTTACTGTCACCATAGTTTTGCCATTCCCAGAATGTTAAATAGTTGGAATCATTCACTGTGGCTTTTTCATGTTGAAAAGGCTTCTTCAGATTGGCTCACATAACAATATGGTTTTAATGTTCCTCCATGTCTTTTCATGGTTCCATAGCTCATGTCTTCTGATTGCTGAATAATATTCCATTGTATGGATGTACCACTGTTGGTTTATCCATTCACCTGTCTTAGGACATCTTAGTTGCTTCCAAGTTTTGGCAATTATGAATAAAGCTGCTGTGAACATTCATGTGCAGGTTTTTGTGTGAGCATGTTTTCAACTCATTTGGGAATATATCAAGGAGCACAATTACTGGATTGTATGGTAAAACTACATTTAGTTTCATAAAAAACTGCCCAAATGTTCAAAGTGGTTGTACATCTTGCATCCCCACCAGCAATGAATGAGACTCTTATTGGTCCACATCCTCACTAGCATTTGATGGTAGTGTTCTGAATTTCAGCCATTCTAATAGGTATGTAGTGGTATTTTATAATTTGCAACTTGCTAATGACATATGATGCTGAGCATCTTTTCATATGCTTATTTGCCATCTGTTTATCTTCTTTGGGAGGTATCCAGATTTTTTGCCTATTTTTAAGTGGGTTGTTTGTTTTCTTATTGCTGAGAATTTGAAGAGTTCTTTGTATGTTTTAGATACCAGACTGTACAAAGTTGGTATAATTTCTCCCTTAAAGGTTTGGTAGAATTGACCAATGAACCCAGCTGGATCTTGTACTTTGTTTTCAATGGTCACTATTATCAATGCTATTTCTTTAGATATAGGCCCTAATCAGATGATCTGTTTCTTCTTGTGTGAGTTTTGGTACACTGTCTTTCAAGAAATTGATTATTTCCTCTTGGTTATCATATGTATGGGCACAGAGTTGTTTGTAATATGCTTTTATTATCTTTTTAATGTCGATGGGATCAGTAGTGATGGTCCTTTCATTTCTGATATTGGTAATTTGTCTTTTTTTCTTAATTAGACTCACTAGAGATTTATCAGTTTTATCAAACCTTTCAAAGAAATAGCTTTTGGTTTTGCTGACTTTATTTATCCCTGTATTCAATTTCATTTATTTTTGTTTTTTCTTGCTATTTTAATTTGGTCTTCTTTCTCTAGTTTCCTGAGACAGCTTATTGATTTTACATCTTTGTTCTAATATATGCATTCAATGCCAAAAATTTTCCTCTAAGCACTGCTTTTCCTGCATCCCACACATTGTTATCAACTGTATTTTCATTTTCAATTAGTTCAAAATATTTCTAAATCTCTCTTGAAACTTCTTACACCAGTGTTGTTTACAAGTGTGTTTAACCTTTGAGTATTTTGGAATTCTATAGCTACTTTTCTGTTCTTGATTTCTAATTTAATTCCACTGTGGTCTGAGAGCATATTTTGTTATGATTTTGTTGTTTAAAATTTGTTTTTTATTTTCCATGTGAGCTTGAGAGGAATGTGTATTCTGCCGCTGTTGGATGAAGCATTCTATAGGCATCAGTTAGGTCTAGCTGGTTGATGGTTTCGAGTTCAGTTATCTCCTTACTTATGTTCTGTTTGCTCTATCAGTTACTGATAGAGGTCTCTAACAGGGGGTTCATCTATTTCTCCTTCCAATTCTATTAGTTTTTGCCTCACATATTTTGATATTCTGTGCTAGGTGCATGAAGCATACATAGTAAAGATCGTTATGTCTTCTTGGAGAATTGACCCCTTTATCATTTTGTATTGTCCCTCTTTATCCTGAATTTTCCTTGTTCTGAAGTTTACTTTGTCTGGAATTAATGTAGCTTTTAGATTTATGCGTGTTTATGTGTAAAGTGGGTGATTTTTTTTTTCTTTGTAGATAATACATAGTTGGGTCTTAATTTTTTAACTACTCTGACAGTCTCTCTTTTAATTGGTATATTTGGACCACTGACATTTAATGATTATTGATATAACTAGAGTAATATCTATCATATTATTTACTGTTCCTATTTGTTGCTTTTCTTCTTTTTGTTTTCCTCTCTTTTTCTGCCTTCTCTGGTTTTAATTAGCATTTCATGATTCTAGTTTTTTCCTCCTCTCTTAACAGAGCAATTATACTTCTTTTTTTGCCTTCTTATCTGTTGCCCTTGAGTTTGCAGTGTACATTTACAACTAATCCAAGTTCTGTTTCAAATAACACGACACCACTTCACAGGCAATGGAGGTACCTTATCAGCGTATTCCCCGTTCCTTCCTCTAATCCCTTATAACATTCATTTCACTTATCCATAAACTGTAATCACTCTTTTCCAAATTGCTACTTTGCACCATGTGTTGTTAGATCAATTACGATTTTAAAAAATGAAAAATTTGGTTTTATTCCTTCTTTAATGCTCCTTTATGTATTTCTCAATTTCTTTAGGAATTGAGTTTCTGACCTATATTATTTTCCTTCTTTCTAAATAATTTAACATTTCTTGCAAATCAGTTCTACCAGCGACAAATTCCCTCCATTTTTGTCTGAGAATTTCTTTACTTCTGTTTGAATTTTGGAGAATAATTTCACTTGATACAGAATTCTAGGCCGGTGTTTGCTTTCTCAACACTATTTCATTCCCCTCTCTGCTGCTTATGTGTTTTCAAAAGAGAAGCCTGATGTAATTCTTATCTTTGCTCCTTTATAGGTAAGAGGTTTTTCCTCTTTTTTTAAGACTTTTCTGTTTGTCTTTGATTTTCTGCAGTTTGAATATGATTAGGCTTACATGTTTTTTTTTGCATTTATCCTGCTTAATGTTCTATATTGCTGCAATTTAAAAATTCAAGTAAATTTAAATAAAATTAAAAGTTAAGTCCCCCTGTTGCACTAGCCACACTTCAGGTGCTCAGTAGCCATAATGGCTAGCAATTGGAGAGTGCATGTGTACCAGGGGAGGGAAGGGCTCTAATCTGAGGCCTCTTGGCAGAGTGGCCCACAGAGGAAGGCATCTTCTGGGACTCTACCACCACCTATACCTGAGACCCCTTGCTCCTATCCACTTGTCTGCCTCTGCTTATACACCTCTTCCTAAAGTATCCTCTTATCTGTCTCAGATTGTCTATATGCTACGCTTTTTTTACCCTGACTTAGGTCCCATCTCTTCACAATTTTCTTAGGAAGGAAAGAGGAATGTATTTCACTTCACTCCATTTAATTCAAGAAACATGAACTTGGCCCATCCATGTAGATTCCTTCCACAGGATCAGGGCCCTAGTATTGAGCCTCACTCTTATGCTCTGCAGATTAAGTTTCACATTCAGTGACATGGGTTCAAACATGCATTGTCACCATGACATACTGTTGTCAGCATATTATTATTAGGTAAGAAAATTAAAAACAAAGACGATTTCATAAATAAAAGGATATTCTAATAGTGTCATTCCTCTGTAATCCATAAAATAGTGGGAAACTAAATGAAGCTCTGCATTATTTTTCTCATTGGGCTTACTGGATGAAAACTGTCTCTGACCTTCAGCAAAATACAGACATCTAGGAACCCTTGCCCTACATAAGTCCAAGACTAGTAATCACTAGTATCTTTTCCTTACTTTCTTTTACTTTGATTGTCTTTTCCCTCTCCTATAGGTCTTACTAGGTGTGTGATCTTGGGCATATTATTTAGCCTCTCTGGTCTTGGTTTCATATGTAGTGAAGTTACTGCGAGGAGTAAATGAGTTAACACATATGCCCAGGACTTTGGACATTCTCAGTGTTCAAGACTGGCATATCCTGGTGCACCCTGGCTGAGCTGGTCTAGGGCTTGGGATAAGGTTGGGCCTTCAAAGGACAGTAGTAAAGCAGGACAGGACTATAAGAAACTATTCAAAAACCTCCTGGCCGCCTACTCTCTATTCTGAGCATGATATTCCGCTCTGATTCCTCAGGCCTTTACTTTCCTTCAAAATGAGAGCCTGTCTGAGAAAGGACCAGGAAGTTAAATCTGCTATAATAGACAAAATAGATGAGGTGTGTCTTAAGGACATGTATACTGAGATACAGCAAGGAACCTGCAGGTCTAGAGTTGGAGGAACTGGCTAAAATTAGAGGAGCCCTGAGAACCTCCTGCACGCTATCCCTTAGGTTCTTACCCAGTGTGTGAGGATAAGTGATGCTTAGTAATACAACAGGTCACTTGGCCACCTAGAAACCTCTTCAACTTAACTAGGCACATATCCAACACAGCAGACCTTGGGGTCAAGAATGCTGAAACAGACCTCAAATTTTACCTCTGTTTCTCCAACTTCATAATTTCACTCTTTCAAAGACTGCAAAAATAATCAGCTTTACTGTTGACTGGAGAAAATATAAGGACAGACAGGCTTCAACTGTCTGTGCACACAGAGGTAAAGATTAAGGAATATTACCTTGTTGGAAGTACTCATTTTTATACTTTGCCTCAGACCATACTCCCTAAGAAACCCACTTCAAAAGAGTGCTTGCACTAGGACTAATTTAGCCTATATAAATACTTTGTTTGGCCTGTACAGTTCAAAAACTTATTTTATAGTAACATTTGAAAATCGTATGTTAAAAAAACCCCTAGATTTCCAGCTTCTCTTTAGAAGTCCTAAGATTACGGTAGCATTGGGCTATAGAGGCAGAAGGCTGCAACTGGCCCTGAGAGTTGTTTCCTCTAAAAGCATTAAGTATTCTTCAAATTCAACTACCCGGACCTATCACAGTGCCTGCTCCTGGTCGCAAGTATGGGCATTTAAATGAGCGCTTGCTGGTTCGGAAGAAGCTGAGTTGTCTGCCTTCGTGGTGACCTGGGGCAGCCTGAGATGGTTAACTTTTAAACTAAGACCTGCAGGAAAGGACTTTGCGTCACAGCCGCTGTGCCTCAGTTTCCTTATCTTTAAAATGGGGCCGACAACGCGCTGCTGTGGATTGGCTTTGCAATGGAGTGTGCAAAGGGCTGACCCTATCTCGGGGGCCGGGGGACACGACTACAGCCGACGCTAACGGACCAGGCCTCGAGGAGGCGCTTGGGGCGCGAGGCCCGCACGCTAGGACGCACCTCGCCGGGCCTCGCTCTCCGCTCCTCCCCGCCGCGGGCCCCCGTGCCCCGCCGCCGTCCACCCGGACGCCGAGAGGCGTGGCCGGCCCGCGCGGACCCTGGAGGCTGCCATGGCCTCCGTGGTGGAGTACAAGGGGCTCAAGGCCGGCTCCCGCTGCGGCTACTGCGACTTGGAGGAGGGCAAGGCGTCCTGCGGTGAGTGTCGCCGTCGACGCGGCTGGAGCGGTCGCCTCGCGTGCAGTCCACCTGCACTGCCGGCGGCGCCCGGGGCCAGGCCCTCGCGGGGGAGCGCACAGGCCTAAGCCCCCACTCCCGCTTTCCTTCCCTTCTCGTTTCTTCCCAGACTGTTTCCCTTCACGCCCCGGGTCTCCGCCTCACCGAATATGGCGGTCCCTCTAAGGGAAGGAACAGAAACAGCGGAAGGTTGCCCTCGGTTAAGATGGTGCGGGTGGCGTCAGCGCCGCGGGCCTGCGGGCAAGGCCGGCCCTGCAGGCGCCTGGGCAGCGTCGGGAGTTCCTCTGGGGCGCTCGGGCCGCGCGGTGCATTGTGGGGTGGCGGCGGCCGAGCACCGGGTGCGTCGCGTTCGGAAGGCCGGGGCCATGGCTTCCTGGGCCACTCCTTCGCCCAGCATCGTAGAGTATTTTGAGGGCGAGGACTCCTACCTCTGCGGCTACTGCAAGAACGAGACGGGCAGTCGTTCCAATGGTGAGCGGGCCGTAGGCGTGGGCGGGCGCCGCGGCCTTGGCTCCACAGCGGGCGGGCGGGCGTCCTCGGGGGCCGCGGCGCCCCGGCCCGGAAGGAGCAGCAGGAGACCCCCGCCCGGCCCCTGTGTCGTGGAGGGAGCGCCGAGCGCGGCTGCCCTGGGAGAGCCATGGCTGTCAGAATTAAAAGCAGACCTCACCTCTGGAAGCAGGGAAACTTCTAGATGCATATTCTTCACACAGGTGTTCTGACGTGCGAGAGGATGATGGTCCCGAAGTAGCGAAAAGTGTGGCTGCGGGCGGCCGTCCGCAGTCAGGAGGCGGTTGGGTGTGCGGGGCCTGCCGCGCCGGGGCACTGTAGTGGGGTCGGTTGCGCCGCGGCTGACCTGTAAGTGCCGATGCGGATGGGACCATCCCCGAGTGGAACTTCAGAACCCGGCGTGCAGGGCAGTGACTGTCGGGACGTGCGCGATTTGTGTAGGAAAAAGTGTGTGTGCACACAAGGGCATTCGTGGATAGTGTCCCTGGAGGAATATGCCAGACGCTGGCGACCGTGGTCGCCGCTGACAAGGGAGCCCGCTTGTACCCCTGTGTTTTATTGCGAAGTCATTCCTCCGCCCACCTGAAGGTTCGACAGTCAAACCAGCGTACAGTTTTTGATTTTGTTTTTTCCCATCATGATTCAGGTTTCTTTTGGAAGGTGTGCTGTTTGTAAGCAAAACATTGTGCTTATTTCCTGCTATGTCATTCATTGGCAAATGTAGATTCTCTTATTTCAAAGACTAATACAACGTTGTGGAAAGTGGTATGTCCATCAAAGTGCAGGTTTAAAGTAGTATAAATTTCTTGCAGCAGGGGAATAATTTGGACGATTATGGTGTGTCCATTTACTCATAATGTTTACTAGGCACTTCTTGTGAGTGATAATTGCAATTAATACAAGCATTGTATTAACAGAATCCAATCATTAGGAGTGATGATTATGAAGACGAGTTGAGTGGAAAAATGTTTAGAGTGTAGGGTTAAATGGAGAAAATAAACAGGATGCAAATGACGTGTGACATGATTGTAGCTCTGGAGAAGCACACCAAATGGTGACAGTGGTCACCTTATGGAATTTAGAGATCACTCCTTTCTCTTTTTCAGAATTATATTGTTACTAAAATATGTAATAAATGTTATATTAAACATGTCTAATAGAGCCTTTTAATTCTTATTTTTCCAGTAATTTTAGTAAGAGAAAATTGATTAATATGGATATACTTTGTTTAAAATCCAGTGGAAGAAACCCACTTTCAACCTTTTCACCTAAAGAGATAACAAAATTGCTATTATTTTGATTTTAATTGCAAGTAAACCTTTACTGTAGGGCACCCCACCTATTGGGCAAGTAGGTTTTATTATTCCTATTTTATAGGTGATGAAATTGAGCCTTCTGTGTAACTTGGTGTTAATGAGTGCCTGCTAGCCTTCTGGATGTTTTATTGTACTCTAATGTCCATGTTTTTCTTACTACATTTTGATCTATCAAGCATAGCTCTATCTTTACATACCTCTGATGCAGTTTACTGTATTTAGGAGAAAATTGATTTTTCTTTTAATGTTGGTTCAAATATATCTCAGTGTTTTATCATAGTCTTTATTTTTTTCACAGTTGCATACTTTTCATATTCTGTTGATAACAGTCTCTGTAATCACATTCTTGTTCCTAAACGTTTGGTTACTTTCAGTTTTTATACTTTAAAGGAATATTGCTGTATTCTTTTGTTCTGTTTTTTATGTTGAAGACTATATATGAACATATGTGAAGATCAAGAGAATTTATATGCACAAGGGAACATTTGCTTTTCAGTTCTTTTGAAGAGACCAGCTTATTAAATTATTGGGGATAGTAGTATCATTTAAATAGGTGTGATGTAATCTGATTTCAGTGAGGACCTAAATTTATGATGTCATAGAGACTATTGACTGATCCTGAATTAAATGTAATCACTTTGATGTGTTTCATTTTTAAAATTAAGGTAAATATGTTTTTAATTTGTGTTGTATGTTATATCAAACTAACAAGTATGAAATATGTGCAAATTTTAATTTCTCTAGTGTGAGCTAGACTGTTTTAGCTTCAAGATTCATATTTTAAAAGTAATGCTTTGAATTTAAAAGGTATAAAATTCAACCTACTGTCATTAACGTGGCACTTACTTTTCCAGGCATGTGGGCGCATTCCATGACCGCACAGGACTATCAGGATCTTATAGACCGAGGATGGCGAAGGTAATTCTCTTTAATGCAAAAATACTTGTCCTATTACTCAGGTTCTTAAATGGAAAAATACTGTTTGCCTTTAAAATGTTTTCCTGTAGTTTGAAAGAGGTTTAAGACAAATTTTTATTCTTTTCGTGTAGTGATTTTTTTTCTCTCCTTGTAAAGATGTTTATAAGAGAACTTCAAATATACACAGCTATGGAGAGCACATTAAAATGAACCTCATGTAGCTGTCCATGCTTCAACAGTTAGCATTTCGCCAGCCTTGTTTCATCAGTTCTCCTTGCTCCTTGCAGTGGACTGAAATGTGGTGTCTCCCCAGAGTTCCTATGTTAAATCCTAACCCCCCAGTATGACAGCATTTGGACGTGGGGCCTTTCAGAGGTGATTAGGTTTGTCATAAATGGGATTAGTGTGCCTTTTTAAAAGGGACCATCACAGAGAGCTCCCTTGCCTTTTCTGCTGTGTGAGGATACAACAGAAAGATAACTCAGGATGTTTCTCTTTATGAGACACCAATTCTGCTGGCGCCCTGGCCTTGGACTTCTCAGCTTCCCTAACTATGAGGAATAAATTTATTAGTCTGTGCTATTGTGCTGTAGCAGCCCGAATGGTACTCCCCACTCCACAAAATAGTTGAAAGCAAAATTTAGATATGTCAGTACTGCTCTAATAACTATGTGTTTCTATGTAATAACTATGGTAATATATCATAATACCATTATCATACCTTACAAATAGTAATTATAGTAATTAATACTTTGTAAATAATAGTTTAATATTTTAAAAATTCATTCACTTTTTACCTAGTTTTGATTAGATTTTCTGCTTATCTCAAAAATTTCCTTTTTTTTTAGTCAGTTTATTTGATTTAAAATTCCATTAAGGTCCACACGTTGTCTTTGATGATTAAAAATTTTTTTGGTAGTTTATTTTTTATTTATTTATTTACTTATTTTTTATTAAGGTATTATTGATATACACTCTTATGTAGGTTTCACATGAAAAAACAATGTGGTTACTGCATTTACCCATATTATCAAGTCCCCACCCATACCCCAGTGCAGTCACTGCCCATCAGTGCAGCAAGATGCCACAGATCCACTATGTGCCTTCTCTGTGCTTTTGGTAGTTATTTTTATGTAGATTATTTTAGAGTAACTATTAGGTAAAGCAGTGTTAAGTGCTCTATGCCAATACTTCACAAAAGACTTGAGATTAAGCACAGCAAATGAAACTTCACAACTTTTCTTAAACTTAATAAGGTAGATATAGGTTTGATGCTGAAGGACTTTGTATGCCATGATAAGGAACTTTTTTTTTAAAGGTAGAGGCTTTATGTTCAAGGGAAATGTTATAGAATTTGTGTTTTGGTAATGATCATTCAGATAGCAGAGCAGGTGGTTCTGGAGGCAGGAAGACTACTTGTGGACATTATTGTAGTCTTCAGATGTGAGATGGTGAGGACTGTGTCATCTTTAGTAGCAGTGGCTATAGATTAGGAGAGGACAGACTTAAGATACATTTTAGAAGCAGAAAGCTTAAGAGAGATACATTAGAGAGTCTGAGATGACTCCCAGGTTTCTGGCTTGGGAACTGAATTTGTGTGTGTTTGCTTAGGCTGCTATAATAAAATGCTGCAGATTGGGTGGCTTAAGCAACAGAAACTAATTTTCTCACAGTTATGGAAGCTGCAACTCTACAGCTTTTTTTTCTTCTGAGGCCTCTCTCCTTCAGTTGCCCATGCCCGCCTTCTCATTGTGTCCTCATATGGTCTTTTCTCTTTGCATGGGCACCCTTAGTGCCTCATATCTCTTTGTCCAATTTCCTTTTCTTGTAAGGACATCAGTCAGGTTGGATTAGGTCTCATCCCAACAGCTTCATTTTAACTTAATCACCTTTTTAAAGTCCTTATTGCCAAATACAGATATCTCCAGATACTTCCAGTATTCTGAGGTTTGGGGGTTAGAGTTCAAAATATGCATTTTGCGGGGCAAAAATCAGCCCATAATGTCATGGCTTTGCTATTAACGGAGATCCAGAAAGCACGGAAAGGATCAGGTTAGTTTTGGAGTATATCATGAGGATGTAGGCACCTTGGTCTCAGAGCATCTTGGACACTTTTCTCTGATTGTCCTTGTGATATTGAAGATTGGGGGTAGGTTGAGTCATGGGAGGGATTCTAGGCACTGATGAGAGGGTAATTGAGATGGTTTGCCTTGCAGTATGTGTGTAAAGGCTTAGTAAAGAAAAAAGCTGGGGCTTTTGTCCTTTGTATAACCATGTTGCAAGATTATTTAACTTATGAAGAGTAACTAAACCTAAATGCATTTTTACACTACTCATTAGACTACAGTAACTTTGTGCTCCTGTCCTAATCTACTTTGTTACATACAAGCAATATGTAAGAAATTAATAAAACTATTTTATATTTTAGAAGTGGGAAATATGTGTACAAACCTGTTATGAATCAAACATGTTGTCCTCAGTACACAATAAGGTAAGAAAGAACTTTAATAGAGTGTCTATAATATGAAAATTGTGTGTAATTTTTCAGTAGACTCTTGCCTTTTTTAAATGTTCATTTCCATTTTAGGTAGACATTCTTTATAAGGAGAAGCAAATGAGTTAATGTCTTTTCTGCATACTAATTCTATATTTATGGACCAGTCAATAGCTTTTAATAATACAGTTCAGTTGGTTTGGATATAAAAAAATAGACTATTTGGCAATCTAGTCAATGACACCATGAAATACGAAAATATTTGTAAATACTCAAATTACTTTTAATAGCAAATTTCTATAGGATTTAATCACTTTAGGGGCTTTCCATGTTCTAGTGTATTGACCCAGTGCTTACGTTCAACAGTATTACAGGGTCTTTGGTCTCTTTAGTAGTTACCACTTGTACATCAGCATTTCTCCCGTTCTCTTTTTCCTAGTAGCTTATGTCTTTTTTTTTCCTAATCCCTTAACTGTAGTTTTAGTGAGATTTAGGGTAAGAGTAGAGGGTACATTACCCAGAAATCCCAGGCGTGAGCTTTGCTTCACTGTACTAGATACTATCCAGAGCTGATTTTATTTCTTCAAAGTTTGAGTTCACTTTTTAAATACTTATTTTGCTTTCCTAGGTGCCGACCTTTACAGTTTCAGCTATCAAAATCTCATAAGAAGGTTTTGAAAAAAATGTTGAAATTTCTGGCTAAAGGGGAAATTTCCAAAGGAAATTATGAGGGTAAGATGGGATAGCGTCTAAAAATTACTAACTTTAACTTGAGTTATATTTCCAAAGTTCTTTTTTTCAGTCACTTCTTAAGTTCGGTAAGAGGAAGGGAGCCATACTATAATCAGGCACTGCTTTCTGCTATCATGATGTTGATTACTGTTAGCATTGCTGTTGCTTTTAGCACCAGCCCCCAAATCAAGGTACGGGAAATATGTGTCAGGAAATCTCTAGCTTGGGAAGAAGATGGAGGACCATTTTAGAGGTGTGATAAAGATGTGAGTTCATTGATATTTTCATTTTCCCAATGCTTTGACAACTCTCATCTTACTTGACCCAAATACTATCCTTATGAAATCAGTAGAAAGTGGAGAAACAGATGCTTAGGTACAACTTATACAAGATTGCACACTCACTCTTAATGCTGATTTTCTATGTTTGAGTAAGGTCCTGCTTCAGTAAATTACATGGCCTGAAATTCTGTTTCTTATTTGTCTTAGAAATTTTGAATTGAGCCCATTTCCTAAAAGATAATTGATAACATTTAATTAACTTTGGTTACAGATACTTTGTTTTTTCACTTTAAAAAAAGAAAAGTTTTCCTATAGGTGGTGCCTACCTAACATATGAGCTTAAAAATTGGGAATGCCACCCATTTTCAGAGCTTGTTCTCACTTCTGCCATAGGAAATGTGTAATCCTGGGAGGCTCTTACCCCAGTCTTAGTTTGCTAATTCATTCCCCTATTATATTTTGAGTGCCTACAATGTCCCAGTCCCTGTTTTAAGCACTGCAGATACAGTGGCCAGCAAGACAGGTAAGTTCTTTGTCTTCATGCCCTGTCCTTAATGGACCAGGGTTCAGGACAATGTGGAACAGCCTTTGCAGAGCTGGGAGTAGGAAAGAGGCTGGAAGGCTCAGGGATCTAGAGGTTCCTGGGTAGTTGGAGCATTGGAAACATCAGAATTTTGGTGCCGCTCTTTATTAGTATTGTTGCTATGTAATTTTAAAGGTTAAACAGATTTTGTTGAAACTTTTTTTTTCCAGTGGTTGGGAATCATGTTTGAATTGCAAAAATTAATATCCTGATACCCTTGGAGGATGTTGTCTATTCATAATTAACAGTTGCCTGTCTTCTTAGGTAGCTTTGCATTTGATTCTTTATTTGACTTGTTATAGGTTTCTGAATTTTATATGTCTGCAATTTAATTAATGAGAGTGATGTACTCATTAGGCTAGAAAGCTAAACAGCTGTAACAGAGAGACACCAAAATGCAATGACTTAAAATGGTAGAAGTCTGTTTCTTTCCTCATACAACAGTTCAGTGTGGGTGTTCCAGGGCAGCCTGCAGCTCTGCTCCCACCCAGCCATTCTAGGACTCTCTTCAACATGTGACTTCTAAGGTTGCTCTGGTTTTTACTAATCCAGCCAGTGGGAGGGGAAAGGGTGGAAGTTCAGGGTCATAAATTTCTTTTAAAACAAGCAAGGCTAAATTGGACCTGCCAATTTGGTTATATTCCATTGGCGGGAGCTTGGTCACAACTTGCAGAGGGACTGGTGGTGCATTCCCTTGCATGGCCACAGTCTTAACTACAGCTCTGTTACTGCGGAAGATAGGAGAATAGATTTGGCTGATACACAGTAGTCTCTGCTGCATTGGATAAAAGGGGCATTAGTGCCTCCTATATGTATGTTAATTGTCAAATGGCCTGGCTGATGGACTTTGATTTCTTTTGATTTATAGATGAACCCATGGAGCCTACCATGGAGGACGCCGTGTCGGGTGACTTTGCATTAATAAATAAGTTGGATATACAGTGTGACCTTAAAACACTCAGTGATGACCTCAAAGAGAGCTTAGAGAGTGAAGAGAAGGGAAGAAGCTCAAAGAAAGAAGACTCTCACGAATTAATTCAGCCACAAGGCACAGAGAAGTTGGGCTCTGATGAACCATCACATTCTGTTAAAGTGCACACGGTTCCTAAGCCAGGTAGTGGATTTGTTACAGGCTGTTTTAACATTGTAGAAAATGATTTTCTTTGCGTTTGAGACATTGGAAACCCTGGGCCCTCTCATCAGCTGAAAAAAATTAATTACTCATGAAATCTGTAAAACAGATTCATGTTTTATACAGCTTATTATGTGGATTTAGGTAGACATATGACATGTTTTTAAAACTATTGTGTTTAAAAAGCTTGAAACAATAGCTTTATTATCCTCTAAGCAGACATTATAAGAGTTCCGTCTCTCCTGACTACCATAGGGCCCTAGAGGTTTGAGAATCAAGTTTTTTTTGTCAGTGAAAAGATACGGTTTTAAACATTTTTATTCTTAGTGTTGAGACAAAGTCAATTTTAGGTGTTCTTTCCAAAATACAGGCATTGTAAGATTCTTTTTTATAGTCAGATTTATGTAGTCATAATTCTAGTTTAAAAATTTCCAGATTTTTATGTTTAACTTTGTCTTTAAGAAGGTAAGACTTTTTTCTATATTTTCACTTATAAGAGAGAATTAGGTTTAAAAAGTTTATGCAATATTCAATGGGTATATATGTGTGTATGCACCACACTGTGTCTGTGTGGGTGTATGATTCTTTTAAAATTACTTCCTGAAATGTCCATTTGGGTGGTTATTGTTCAGTTCTTGAATTCTTTCTTATATTTATACAGAATGATCCAAGGGGAAGATTTGTAGTACGATTTTAGCTTTTCTTATCTAAATTCTAAGCTACTTGCTTTAAAGCACAGAAAACTTTGTTTGCATTTTTATTGATAGTTTTTTTTAGTCTAAGGTTTTCATGGCGTTTAAATTGATGTTGGTCTGAAATTTCATCCACATTAATAAAATAAGAATAGTCCAATAAAATATTTTGAGGGACTTAGGTAAGTTCTTTCAGTTCTTACTCTCTTGGACAATAAGGTCAGTTCTTTCACTATTTTTATTATAAAATACTTTTATTATAAAAATTATAAAAATCTTCTGGGTAATTTCAAATACAGAAAAATATAGACAATATTATAGTGAACTTCCATGTACCTTACCCTCATTTGAAAGTTATTAACTCAGAATGCCCACTATTGTTTCATCTATCCTCACATCTGTTTTCTTTTTTGTTGTTGTTGGTATTGTTAATATACAAGTACATGAGCAACATTGTGGCTACTGGATTCCCCCCATTATCAAGTCCCCACCACATACCCCATAACAGTCACTGTCCATCAGCGTAGTAAGATACTATGGAGTCACTACTTGTCTTCTCTGTGCTATACTGCCTTCCTTGTGCCCCCCACTACATTATGTGTACTAATTGTAATACCCCTTATTCCCCTTCTCCCTCCCTTTCTCCCCCAGCCCCGCCGCCGGTCCCTTTCCCTTTGGCAACTGTTGGTCCATTTTTGGGTTCTGTGAGTCTGCTACTGTTTTGTTCCTTCAGTTTTTGCTTCTTATGCTCCACAGATGAGTGAAATCATTTAGTACTTGTCTTTCTCTGCGTGGCTTATTTCACTGAGCATAGTACCCTCTAGCTCCATCCATGTTGTTGCAAATGGTAGGATTTGTTTTCTTCTTATGGCTGAGTAATATTCCATTGTGTATATGTACCACCTCTTTATCCACTCATCTACTGATAGACACTTAGGTTGCTTCCATGTCTTGGCTATTGTAAATAGTGCTGTGATAAACGTAGGGGTGCATATGTCTTTCAAACTGGACTTCTGCATTCTTAGGGTAAATTCCTAGAACTGGAATTCCTGGTATTTCTGTTTACAGTTTCTTGAGGAACCTCCATTCTGCTTTCCACAATGGGTGAACTAGTTTACATTCCCAAAAACAGTGTAGGAGGGTTCCCCTTTCTCCGCATCCTCACCAGCATTTGTTGTTCCTAGTCTTTTCTGTGTTGGCCATCCTAACTGGTGTGAGGTGATATCTGATTGTGGTTTTAATTTGCATTTCCCTGATAATTAGTGATATGGAACATCTTTTCATGTGTCCGACATCTGAATTTCTTCTTTGGAGAAGTGTGTGTTCATATCCTTCACCCATTTTTTAATAGGGTTTTTTGCTTTTTGGGTGTTGAGGTGTTTGAGTTCTTGATATATTTTGGTTGTTAACTCCTTGTTGGATCTGTCATTTACAAATATATTCTCCCATACTGTAGGATGCCTTTTTGTTCTATTGATGGTGCCCTTTGCTGTACAGAAGCTTTTCAGCTTCATGGAGTCCCATGTGTTCATTTTTGCTTTTGTTTCCCTTGACCAAAGAGATGGGTTCAGGAAAAAGTTGCTCATGTTTATATTCAAGAGATTTTTGTCTTTGTTTTCTTCTAAGAGTTTTATGGTTTCATGACTTACATTCAGGTCTTTGATCCATTTTGAGTTTACTTTTGTGTATGGAGTTAGACAATAATCCAGTTTCTTTCTCTTACATGTAGCTGTCCAGTTTTGCGAACACCAGTTGTTGAAGAGTCTGTCATTTCCCCATTGTATATCCATGGCTCCTTTATTGTATATTAATTGACCATATATGCTTGGGTTTATATCTGGGCTCTCTAGTCTGTTCCATTGGTCTATAGGTCTGTTCTTGTGCCAGTACCAAATTGTTGTGATTACTGTGGCTTTGTAGTAGAGCTTGAAGTTGGGAAGCATCATTCCCCCAGCTTTATTCTTCCTTCTCAGGTTTGCTTTGGCTATTCAGAGTCTTTTGTGGTTCCATATCAATTTTAGAACTATTTGCTCTAGTTCGCTGAAGAATGCTGTTGGTATTTTGATAGGAATTGCATTGAATCTGAATTGCTTTAGGCAGGATGGGCATTTTGACAATATTAATTCTTCCTATCCATGAGCATGGGATGAGTTTCCATTTATTGATATATTCTTTAATTTCTCTCATGAGTGTCTTGTAGTTTTCAGAGTGTAGGTCTTTCACTTCCTTGGTTAGGTTTATTTCTAGGTATTTTATTCTTTTTAATGCAATTATGAATGGAATTGTTTTCCTGATATCTCTTCCTGCTAGTTCATCATTAGTGTATAGGAATGCAACAGATTTCTGTGTATTAATTTTGTATCCCCCAACTTTGCTGAATTCAGATATTAGATCTAGTAGTTTTGGAGTGGATTCTTTAGGGTTTCTTATGTACAATATCATGTCAGCTGAAAACAGGGACAGTTTCACTTCTTCCTTGCCAATCTGGATGGCTTTTATTTCTTTGTGTTGTCTGATTGCCATGGCTAGGACCTCCAGAACCATGCTGAGTAAAAGTGGGAAGAGTGGGCATCCTTGTCTTGTTCCTGATATTAAAGGAAAAGCTTTCAGCTCTTTGCTGTTAAGTATAATGTTGGCTGTGGGTTTGTCATATATGGCCTTTATTATGTTGAGTTACTTGCCCTCTATACCCATTTTGTTGCGAGTTTTTATTGTGAATGGATGTTGAATTTTGTCAGATGCTTTTTCAGCATCTATGGAGATGATTATGTGGTTTTTGTCCTCGTTTTTGTTGACGTAGTGGTGATGATGGATTTTCGAATGTTGTACCATCCTTGCATCCCTGGAATAAGTCCTACTTGATCATGATGAATGATCTTTTTTATGTATTTTTGAATTCAATTTGCTAATATTTTCTTGAGTATTTTTGCATCTATGTTCATCAGGGATATTGAATTGTAGTTTTCTTTTTTTGTGGTGTCTGAAGGGTCCCCACCAGTAAGATGGCGAACTTCTGGCTTCTCTTTGGGGTCCTCGGTTCCCGCCGGCACCACCTGAAGCCCAATCACCTCTCGCCCCCCTCCCAATCCCAGCACCTAGCCAATAGCCACCAGCCCCGTAGAAGTAACACCACAATCACCCCATGCCCCTTCCTATATAACCCAGCACCTTTCCCTAATAAAGCGGATTTCTCCGGTGAATTGCTGCTGTGTGTCGTTCCTTTCCTTTCAGGTCTTTGCCCGGTTTTGGTATTAGAGTGATGCTGGCCTCGTAGAATGAGTTTGGAAGTATTCCCTCCTATTCTACTTTTTGGAAAACTTTAAGGAGGATGGGTATTTGGTCTTCAGTAAATGTCTGATAAAATTCAGCAGTGAAACCGTTTTGTCCAGGGATTTTGTTTTTAGGTAGTTTTTTGATTACCAATTCCATTTCATCGCTGGTAATTGGTGTGTTTAGATTTTCTGTTTCTTCCTGGGTCAGTCTTGGAAGGATGTATATTTCTAGAAAGTTGTCCATTTCTTCTAGGTTATCCAGTTTGTTAGCATATAATTTTTCATAGTATTCTCTCACAATTCTTTGTATTTCTGTGGTGTCTGTAGTGATTTTACCTTATTTCTGATTCTGTTTATGTGTGTAGACTCTTTTTTTTTTCCTTGATAAGTCTGGCTAGGAGGTTTATCTGTTATTTTCTTGGAAGAACCAGCTCTTCCTTTCATTGATTCTTTCTATTGTTTTATTCTTGATTTTATTTATTTCTGCTCTAATCTTTATTATGTCCCTCCTTCTACGGACTTTGGGCCTCATTTGTTTTTCTTTTTCTAGTTTTGTGAATTGTGAGTTTAGACCGTTCATTTGGGATTGTTCCTCTTTCCTGAGGTAGGCCTGTATTGCAATATACTTCTCTCTTAGCATGGTCTTCGCTGCATCCCGCAGATTTTGCAGTGTTGAATTGTTGTCATTTCTCCATATATTGCTTGATCTCTTTTTTTATTTGGTCATTGATCCATTGATTATTTAGGAACATGTTATTAAGCCTCCATGTGTTTGTGGGTTTTTTCATTTTCTTTGTGTAATTTATTTCAAATTTCATACCTTTGTGATCTGAGAAGCTGGTTGGTATAATTTCAATCTCTTTTTGTGGCCTAGTATATGATCTATTCTTGAAAATGTTCCATGTGCACTTGAGAAGAATGTGTATCCTGTTGCTTTTGGATGGAGTGTTCTGTAGATGTCCATTAGGTCCATCTGTTCTAATACGTTGTTCAGTTTCTCTGTCTCCTTACTTGTTTC